CTATGATAGAAATATATAACGAGGGCATAAAGGACCAAAATCCAGTAATCATAGACACTGTCATTTAAAAGTATGAAATCTAGTAAGCCCTACTATGTCAGTGAATTTCTAATATGTTATGTGTAAGAATTAAATGAGAGAATTGCTACATAGAAGGTGTAGGTACTATTGTTGTATGCTTTTATAGATTATGGAACAAAATTCAAAGTCATACAGTCAGTTTTCATAATGTTAATAGAATCTAAGCATTCTGCAACCCCAGTGACAGCGTTACTAATTTACCATTTTTGTTTTGGAGGATAGCTTTATCCTAAGTAGCCAGTGGCATTGTAACGTTTGGTGATGGAGACATCAGTATTTCCAGTTAAATTATCGTAGCATAATATAGTTTCTCAAAAATGGAAGTTGCTTATTTTTAAAGGGGTCTTTTTTTTAATGATCCAAGCCCCCAAATTTATAGAGTTGCATAGGAAAGCAAATGTTATCACAAACCAGAAGTACTCACTGGTCAACCAACCACTAATAATATTGATTCCCAGTACCTTTGTGTGCCCGCCTACCTAATCCACACTATCAGTTTTGCTTTGAGGTTCTCTATGCAGCTGCTCAGGTCCTTCTATGAATGCCTCTTTGAGCCAGGATGGATTGGAAATTAGCTGTTGAAGGAGATTAATTGGGATGACTACTGTGTAGGGACCAAGAGGTATTGCTAAATCTGTATGAGAATGATATTGGGGGGGCTAAGGAGAAGAATTTTCTTGGGGTGTTGAGTATAAAAAACAAACTGCTTACTTATTCTGCTATACTGTCACAACACACAACGCTTCTGTGATCAGATGTGTGGGAGATTTTCTCCACACACCAAGCCAGCAATTCCCCAGCTGGGTGTCCTCTAATGTAATTCAGTTCTTGGCAGTATTTACCTAGAGGTAGTGTCACAGCCCATAGGTTGAGGCCTCAGTCCCACAAGACTGCCTCCCCCTGCAACCTCTCCACGAACATGCATGTGCGCACACCCCCCCCCCCCCCACACACACACACAATATACACACATACATACACACTCTTTTAAGATGCCAGTTGGATACCCCAGGTTGTTTTACCTTTGCTTCTGACAGACCAGCTATAAATCAGGATTCCCACAAACTCTCTCCTTTGGGCCCAGCTAATTTGCTAGAGTGGCTCGCAGAACTTACATTTACCAGTTTATTACAAAGGCTATTAGGAAGGAGATAGATGAACAGCCAGATAAGAAAGATGCATAGGTCCAAGTATGGGGAGAAGGGGTGAGGAGCTTCCATATATATTCTCACCAGGTGAGTCACCCTCCAGTAATTTCCATGTGTCCAGCTACCTGGAAGCCCATCCACACCCAGTCCTTTGGGATTTTTATAGAGGCTTCACTAAAAAGGCACAATTGATTAAATCATTGGCCACCCATAACCAACGTAACTATCAGCCCCTCCTGTATCCTTAGAGCTTAGGGGTTGTGGCTGAAAGTTTCCAGCTTCTCATCATGCCTTGGTCTTTACTGTGACTAGCCCACACCACGAGCTATCCTTGAGCCCCCAACCATCAGTCAACTCATTAGTATACACAAAGACACTTAGCACTTTGGAGATCATAAGGCTATCACAAGCTATTTGTTAGGAAATGGGAAAACCAAATATATATTTTACAATATCACAGATGTCTTTAAAGAAAAGTTACTTCAGGAGTATGTAACACTTACTCATAAAAAAAAAAAAAGAGCATATTAAGTGTGTTTAGATGGCTTCTGCACTCCAGGCACTTTTTATGTATTATTATGTAATACCCTACTGTGAGAGCTAGGTAGTAGGATTTTCCTGTTCACTGACTAAGGCTCAGAGAGCCATATTGAATAGACTATTCCTGAGCCTATGTGAACACTACTGTAATATTTAGACTGGCATTTTTTTGGTCATAATTTGTCCATTGTGTCTGAATTCTATTTTTCTGAAGTTATCCCACTTGAGCCTTCCTATTTCGTATTTTTCTATTGTATCATAATCAGAGTTCTGAATTCCACATGCTGTAGCAAAATAGTGGATAACTTTCCCCTTTATGTGCTGGAATTAATTTATTTTTACTGATAATAATATTTATTGAATATTTCCTAGGTGATAAACACTGTGAAGGCACTATACATACAATTGGGAAAAAGAACTGCAATATAGAATTAAATTTAAAGGAAGAATTTATATTGCTTAGACTTACCAATTGTTGGAGACTTTCTGTGATATGCTCATCCCTCTTATTTCTTTTGGGAAAGAGGAAGTTGGGAAGAGGTCAAAAACAGATTCGTTTTAGGACCCAAGTGAGTTTATTGGAAGGGATCAGAAGCTAGGATGGGAGGAACTAAAGGAATGCCTTAAGTAAAAGGGGCATAAGTAGGCTTGCTTTCTTATTTAACCTGTGTGAAAACCTACTTTTATTAAGCCAGCAATATAAGTACTTTAATAGTATCATATTTAAGCTGGTTGGCTTTGATAGCAGAACTTGATACGGATATTATCAAGTTCTTGATAGCTTTATATTTGATGTCAATGACAAGTTAGGTAAGTTACAGTACTTTAGTGCCCTCTGCTAATTAATTAGAAGTAAAGTGAACTGGGCACTTCCTGAGCAGTATGTAAAAGGATCTAGAATGAGAAAGAATAACTAGAAAATAGTCTGATACAGCATGAAGGACTATGTTCAGGTGCCTGCAGCTGAACTTGAAAAGCCTTATGAATTTACTTCAACAAGGGAATCAACTGCATTTCTATACTTGAGTAGGTCCAATGATTTTATTTTACTAGTTCTTGTGATATTTATAAGTACAGTATCCTTATTTATTTAAAAGCCTCTTTAGTAGTTTCTCTTGTGATTATTATAGTAATTTCTTTTGTGATTAATTTTGACCTTATATTGTCTTTGATATAATTTTATAAAATCCTAAAAGTAAAAATGAGAAATTTTAACCTATATACCTTCTTTATTATGGGTAGTTTTTTATTTATAGTGAGTGGTCAAGAAGGTGTTTTCGTTTTGTGCTGGGCCTTCCTGAGAAACTCACTGTGATCATTTATTTTCCTATATAGCAGTGCATCCCTCATCTGTTAGGCATACACATTTCTACAATTATGTTCATTGGTCGTGATTTATAGAAAGTTAAAATATTTAAAGCAATTTAGAAATTTGCTGGTACTTGAGTTTAGTGTGGCAGTTACTCTCTGAAGTCCTCAAGTCTGGGTTGGAATTGCAGTTCCTCAGATCCTCCCCAGCTGGGTGTTGCTGGACAAAATTGGCCTCTCTAAGCTGGTCTCCTCATTTATCCAATGGAGATGATAGTAACTTCAGAGAGGTGCCATAGGAGTGAGTGAGTGAATAATGCTGTAACATCCTTAGTACAGTGCTGCACATTTATTTTCAGAAATTGGTAATTGTTACACCTGCTACTGATATAGTTAAGGTGGTGAACCATAGGTAAAATTTCTTGTGATTTTTAAATGATTGGTTTACAGAAAAGGTTTTTACACTACTGGGAATACTATCTTAAGGGCACTTGATCGTCATCTGCTTACGCTGATTGTTGTAGTACTCCTCTTACTGCATTACTAATAATAGCTACCATTTTATTGAGTGCTTACTTACTAAGAGCTTTATGTACAATTTTATTTAATTCCCACAATTATTATGAAGCAGGCATTATTACATCTATTTTTACTGATTGCGAAACTTAAGTGTAGTAAGACAAAATAACCCATCCAGCCCAGCTGGACAGTGGGAAGACTGATTACCTTCAGATCTAAGTCCAAAGCCCATGTTCTTTAACCCCATGGCTGCTCACTATACACTTTGCCATTTGCTTTTCTGTCTCTCCTGGGAAACCTAAGTTTCCTGAAGGGGGAACTGGACATTGTTTGCATTCCAAGGTTGCATTTATTTTTCAAGCTCTTTTAAACTAAAAGTAATGTATAGTGTATAACATCAGAACTTGCTAATGTAAGTGAAACTTAATAGCTTATTAAGAATCTTTCTTATTGAAAAATAACAAAATTTCCCATTCTAACAGAAAACTTGAAGGATTAGGACTTGTTTTTCAGACGTATTGCCAGTCTCCGCAATGGTAACAATTTGAATTTACTATATTTGGCTTTGCATTATTGTACACTAAGTACTCACTTAATCTTCTTTTCAGGTTATAAGCCTCTTTCATCATTGCAATACAGGACCTGGCTCAGTGCTTGTGTGCTTAATACATATTTGATTTTAATTTATTTCAGTGTCAGTATTAATGTTGATCTGAAGTATTTTCAGATTATTTCAGTTGCTTGGGATTTATCAGTGAGCAAAACAATGATCCCTGCCTTCGTCTGAGTTTATATCCTGATGAGGGGGCACAGTTGAGGACCAGTAAACACAATAGAAAGTTTATTTAATGTGTTAGGTGATAAGTGCTATGGGAAAAAGAAGATAGAGCAGGGTAAAGGTGGTCAGAGAGGCTTAGATGAAGAACTGAAGAAGGTGACAGAGTTAGTATAGCTGTTAGTAGATATTTGGAGATTCCCAGGCAGAGGGAACAGTGAGAGCTAAGATCCAAAGGAGGGGGCCTAGCTAGTTAGAATCAGCAGGGAGACCACTGTGGCTGGAGTAGAGTGGATTGCGACAGGTGGGTGGGGATATGCCGGAATTATGGGGAGATGAGATCCGAAATGAGGTAAAGGGGACATGGATGATGTTTTTGCTTTGTCGGATGAATTTGGTAGGATGTGTATGCATGTTACACAAAAATTCTTAGAAGCTGTGTGTTTTTGGAGTAAGGATCAGAAATTTAACTTTTTCTTTTCTTAGTCACGGATTACATTTATATGTCTTTATTTGTGGCAGTTTGAACTTTGTATTTTATATAGCCCATAATATTCAGAAACTCGAATTTCCAGTTCAGTTTACAATATTAATAATCTCTATACTTCTTGATTTCTTTTTTTTGACAGGAGTATGCTGCTGCTGTTCTGCTTTGCGTCCTCGCTACAAACGCCTGGTGGACAACATATTCCCTGAAGATCCAAAAGTAATTTGATCTACATCTACTGATCCTTCTCTTTGCTGACCCATTCTGCCCCCCGCTGACCTCCCTAAGGTTTCCCTAATTTCATTTCTCTACTTTTACCTCTATTATCTCATCATTTATACTACTTTTTTTATACTTTTCTTTTTTTTAGCTCTTAAATGACCCATGCTTGCTTGTCTAGTTTTCAGATTCTTTTAGTAGATTAGGCACAAATCTGGAAAAATGGACAGTTGATGTTCTTTTATAGTTTATATAGTATCTAATTTAAGTAACACTGTCTCATTAAAAATTTATGAACCAATGCCAGATTATTTAAACTAAGCGCTCATGATACCAGTGTGAACAGAGATATGGTTTTCTACTCTCACTATGCACATATATAAGTAAATTGGTAATTAAAATCTGTTGTGAAAAAAAAAATGTTGTAATAGACAGATGAAGTGTGAGTTGCTACTGAAGCAGGAAGGAGTGATACCCAGTCGGGCTGAGGAGAAGAAAGCCTGGAGGAAAAATCTAAGCTAAGATCCAAAGAATAAATAGGGATTGACCACACAGTTTTTAGAAGAGAACTGAGAGGTAAAGAAAGACTGTTTCAGGCAGAGTTTTTCTTTTTACTTAAATACTATTTAATTTTTATAACAATTATTTTATTTGTGAAGATTACTGTTTCAAAACAACTGGTTGGGGTGATTTTGTTTCACATTGCCTCAACCTTTCTAAGACCTTCTGTAGTCTCATGTTAAATGAATATAAACAAAAAAGTAAGTTATATGGCTTTTGACTTCCAAAATTTGCTTTCTTTTAAAATGTACCAGGCTACATAAAGCTTTTGGTTATCTTAACATTAACTTAATGTTAATATATCTCATTTTAAACCAAATCTATTTAAACATTAAGTTATGTAGAGGAGATTAATTAAATGTTATTGGCTGCCAGATATCCTGGATAATTTGTGGCATATAAAAAACCCTAAGATATGGTACTTGCCTTTAAGGACCTTTCCATCCAGTAACTGACATAAAGCAGAAACATACTAAATGTGAAATTAAAATGCATACATTAGTAAAATGCAAAGTAAATCAGGTGGAAAGTTTTTGTCTCCAAAGCAGGGAGGTATCACTGTGGGTTGGCAATCTCTGGGAAGCATTCGCAGAGGAAATGAGATTTGCTGAGCTTTGAAGGATATATACCATCTGGAGAGGCAGACAAGATTAGTCTCTTTATTGCAAATGAGGGGAAAGAGAAAAGACTTGGAAAGCAAGACATATATTTGAAGTCTAGAGCAAGTTATCCATCAATTTGAGGCAAAGGTTTTCTAACCTAATTGTAGAGTTTTAAGTGTGGTAATCATGTTGACATGAGTTCTCATTTGAAATTTTAGATATTATTAGTTAATAGGCTAAATATTCAAGTAATTATTTTCCTGAGAAGTCTGGGACATGCCGTTACTGAAGGTAAGGTGGAGGCCAAATTTTAGAGAATTGTAAACGACAAGCAAGGCCTCTACTTTAGCCACTTTAACTTGTAGGCAGTGAGGGAGCTTTGAACACTTGATCATTTGAATGGGCACAGGTAAATTAAAGAAGGAATCCTTATTTTTGGCAAGAATTACTATAAGATTTATTCAAATAGCAATCTTTAAGATCAGATTTTAAAAAAGAAAAAGATCTACATGAACCTTGAATACATATGGCAAACATTACTTAATTTGCCATAGTTATTATTTTTAATTTATTGAAACAAACAAATCTTGTGATATGTCCATAATGGGTTAGACGGTAGGTACCCAAATGCAGAAGCAAACATGTCATAGTCCCTGCCTTGAAAGAAAAATCTAGTGAGGGGGACAGATAAACAATTTCTTAAAATTAGTGGCCGGATAATCTTGGGCAGGTCACTTGGTTTCTCATTATGTAATGGAGTAATAAATAGTACCAAGCTCATAAGGTTCTCATGAGGACTAAATGAGTTAATGCAGTTCTTTGCTCACTGTTGCTTTCCTAATGTCTATCATAGTGCCCAGCACATAGTTGGCACTCAATATTTGTTTAATCAATGAAAAAATAACTTGATAAAATATAATTGTGGAGATAAGTACTATGAGCTAAAAGAACATATAATTGGAACATCTCACCCAGTCTTGGTGGTGGAGCTTTTGGGAGGGTGCAACACATTTTTGGAGGAAGCTAAGACCTAAAGGATGAGTAGGAATTATCCCCAGATGAACTGAGAAGGGTTCCTGGGCAAAGAGGTGAGTTGAGTGAAAGAAGTCTTGCACAAAAGATGTGATTTGTGAACTGTATGATTTTATTTATGTCAGATACATGCTGATTCATAGTGGTAAAAAGCAGAGCAGTGGTTGCCTGAAGAAGGAGAGAGAGAGACTGCACAAGACATGGGAAATCTTTTGTAAATGATGAAAATGTTCTATGCATGTTGAACATCCCTAATCCAAAAATCTGAAATCTGAAATGCTCCAAAATTGAAAACTTTTTGAGCACTGACATGACACTCAAAGGAAATGCTCACTGGAGCATTTTGGATTTTGAATTTTTGGATTAGGGATATCAAACTGGTTAATTATCTGCAAATATTCCAAAATCTGAAAAAATATCCATAGTTGAAACACTTCTGATCCCAAGCATTTTGGATGAGGTATCCTCAACCTGTATCTTATTTGTAGTAGTGTCTTCACAGATGTACACAACTGTCATTTTTCCAATTATATACTGTATATCAATGCAGCTACTTATATATAGATTATTCCTCAATAAAATTAGTAAGGGATTAAAAATATAGGTGAGACACAATTGTATTTAAATGATGATATGGATGAACTGATAGAGAGGTAGAGGTCAAGGAACTAGGAATAAGAGAGGTTAACTGATGAAGCCAGATGCTGGGACTGTATTCAGAAGACAGAGCAGAGGCAAACCAGTTCCTCCTGGACAGGAAAACTGGATCTCTTCACTTTGCCTAGGGCAGGGTTTCTCAACTTAGGTTCAGTTGACATTTTGGTTCAGATAATTATTTGCTTTTGGGGGCTATTGTGTGCATTGTGAAATATTTAGAAACATCCCTGGCCTCTACCTGTAGATCCCAATACCCACCTCTCCCCATCTATGACAACCCATAATGCCTTTAGACATTGCCCTGGAAGGGCTCAGTTACCTCTGGTTAAGATCTACTGACCTAGCAGGCAGTGAGAAAGCAGGGATGTTTTGCCAGTTAATACTAATCTGATGGCTTCCACCTTCTCTGAGAAAGAGAAGAGCTTATTTGCTGTCAGAGAGAGGAGAGAAGCACCAAAGTAGCAAGTCTGAGGAAAACAGAATAGGTGGAAAATATGAGGGGGTGACTCAACTAGGGACAGAACAAAATAGCCAAAGAACATTGAGGGACCAGTTGAAGATGAAAACACACGTTTACACAATTTTTGTTGTAGATTCACCATCTAACAGTTTCTCTCTCTCTCTCCCTTCTCACCTATTCCAATATTCCTAAGCACACTTACTTGGGTTATATATGGCCAAGAAATTTATGTGGTAACTGGGGAGAATTTGTGGACCTGTTGCACATCATCTTTTAGAAGGCAGAGACAAGTGACCGTTTTATAATCCCGCATCAGGGACCTGTTGTTGCTTTTAAAATGTATCAAATAAGCATAGATTCTACAGTTCTATACACTTTCTCATTTATTAATTTTACAAGAAAACCTTATAATGATATCACTGAGTTCTGAATCATTAAAAAAAGCAATATGTTGACTATTGTATAAGTAAATGAGCAAAACAGGCTTAATAATAATTCAAGTTTTTAAATCGAAACAAATTTTGTTTGAAATCTTTTTACATCTATATCCCATTTCATACATGTTGCAGATAATTAAACTATGTCTCTATAAAGGAAGATATTAGAGTCTAATTTATTTTTGTGCTTTGCATAAAGGGGGCATTCTAAACAACTTTTTAAAAGTTCTATGTATCCATCATGGTGAATATTAGCACTAAGGAGGTTATATACAGAAGGGTTCTACATAAATATGGTTTAATCCCAAATTCAAAAATGGAAAATGTAAAGCAAGCAACACTTAAAAATATAAGCATGAAAATATAGATAATCTATTTATCTTGTTATTCTTATTATTTTTAGGATGGCCTTGTGAAAGCTGATATGGAGAAATTAACATTTTATGCAGTATCTGCTCCAGAGAAACTGGATCGAATTGGTTCTTACCTGGCAGAAAGGTTGAGCAGGGATGTTGTCAGACATCGTTCTGGGTAAGGAAACTAATGACTGCTAAAATTGTATCTTTGGAAAATTCTTTCTAGACTAAATCATTCTATAGATTATTTTGCCATTTAGTGACACAAAAATAATATATAGCACATAAAGCATTGTAATATACAAAGAAATGTATAATACTCCTGTAGATGTTGTGGCTTTTATTACTTCCCTGGTGGTCAAATTTTGTGAATAGATTAACATTAGTTAACTGAATTACCCTTAGCTTGCTTCTATCGATTTTTGAGACTTTTCTAATGGGAAATAGTAGAAATTGACTTGCTTAGTCTATCATTGCAACACTGTAACTTAAAAATCAGTCTCTAAATTGAAAATAAACAGAAAGATCCTATTAAGCAGATGATTTTTTTTCACACAGCTTTAGTTTTTACCTTTCAGAGGAGTAGTAAGAGAGAACTATGTTAGACTTAGATATCAAGGCTCAGAAAATCCCAGCAGGCTAATTTGAAACTGTTACTAGCTGTACTCCTACTGATAAGTAGAAGTCTACCATCCTACTATATTCTTTGTGCTCGAACAATAATAACTTTGCAATTTGGATTATAAATACTTTCTTATTCTGTCATTTTATGAGCCAAGTTTATTATTCTCCAAGTGATATATTAGCTTTCTGTACTTCTGCATTGTTATTACTTAGAACATTTTAGTAAATCATGGCACAGATAGCTTTATGGTTGATCGTTGAATGAAAGTTATCTACAGACTGAATTTTAATTTTTTTTTTTTTTAGATTTGCCCTTAAAAATGTGAGGATTTATTACATGTATGGAATGTGTAAATATCAAGTTGGGGTATTCGGGCTATCCATCACCCCAAGTTATTTGTCATTTCTTGTGTTGGGAACATTTCAAGTCCTTTTCTAGCTACTTTGAGATATGTAGTACATTGTTGCTAACTTAATCACTCTACTGTGCTGTCAAACATTAGAACTTATCTGTATTATCTACTTTTGTAAGTTTGTATTCACTAACCAACCTCTCTTCATCCCTCCATACCCCACCCCGCCAGCTCCTACCCATCCCCACTTACGTGCCCTTCCTAGCCTCTGGTATCTGTCTGAATTTTAACTACAAAATGTAAAATCTGATGAATTGTAAAGTAATATTTATGAGACTTTGAAAATAGTATTCTGTTGCTGATAGTGTTTTATCTACTCATATTTACATATATAAGTAGATTATATTGGAAATTGTCACATTACTAATTATTTTGGGTTAGATACAAGTAAATATGGTTAAAAGTCTGGAAAATAGAAAATGTCCGTATTTACAAAGAAAAATACACAAAGTTAAAGAAGCTCAGATAGTTAAGGAGAGAATGGAGGAATACAGAGTATATTTTCTGTATATTTCAATATAAGGATTGTTTTATAACCTGCAAGATCATTAGTGCTATGTGAGAATTAAGACATTACTTAGGAGTTACTAAATTTGCGTTTCTTTCTTTGGTGTATTTTAATAGACTTATGTCAATTCTTCCAATGGAAAGCACTTAGGAGAATTAAGAGAGGTAGAAATGCTTTGATGTTTTTTTTCCTCCTACACGTAGGTATGTTTTGATTGCTATGGAGGCACTGGACCAACTTCTCATGGCTTGCCATTCTCAGAGCATTAAGCCATTTGTAGAAAGCTTTCTTCATATGGTGGCAAAGCTGCTGGAATCGGGGGAACCAAAGCTTCAAGTTCTTGGAACAAATTCTGTGAGTAAAACTATAATGTTACTAATTTTGTTTAATTAGAATATCTAGAATTAATTGCTTCTTAGAATGTCTTTACCTGGTAAAGGCAAATTTCCTGAATTCAACAGTCAACACAAATTAAGATAATTAGAATTATTTGTCTCTCGCGTTTTCTATTGTTTCTTGTGAAATCTGTGGTATTAACTGATCGTAATAGAATATTTGCCTGTAAATGAATGCACACCTGTCATTTTTATTTTCTCTTGGTCATTCATTTATTGCAACATTAACTTTGTGTCCTACAGTTCCTTTGAGTTTCATGCCTTTTCATTAATTAAGGTTGTTTCCATTTTTATGGCTAGTATGAATAATGCTATGAAGATTTGTGTACAGGTTTTTGTGCGGATGTATGTTTTTCATTCTCTTGGGTATAGTATACACACTACAAAGTATATACACTTAGTAGTATGTACACTTTTAACCATCCTAGAGGGTCTGAAGTGGAATCTCATTGTGGTTGATTTTTATTTCCCTAATGACTAATGGTAAAGCTTTGCATGTGCTCACTGACTGTTGTGTATATTTTCTTTGGAGAAGTGTCTGGTCAGATCCTTTCCCCCATTTTTCAGTTGTCTTTTTATTGTTGAGTTGTAAAAGTTCTTTACATATTCTTAATAAGAATCCTTTGTCAGATATATGATTTGCAATTATCTTCTCCAGTTCTATGGTTTTGTCTTTTCACTTTCTTCCTGGTGTGCTTTGAGTTACTAAAGTGTTGATTTTGATGAAGTCTGCTTGTTTTTTTTTCCTTTTATTGTTGGTGTGTGTGGGGGTGAGGGGTGGTGGATGGGTGTGATTTTAGTTTCATATCTAAGAAACTATTGCCTAATCTAAGATCACAGAGGTATACTCTAATAGTTTATTCTGAGTTTTACAGTTTAGGTTTGTATTTAATAAGCCATTTTGAGTTAGCTTTTGTATGTGATGTGAATTAAGCATTCAGCTTTATCCACATTTTGCATATGGATATTTAACTATGCCATACTATTCGTTGAAAAGCTTAATATTTCCCCTTGAATGGTCTTGGCACCCTTTTAAAAATAAATTTACCATTAACATTAAGCGTTTGTATCTTTATTCTTTCCTAGACTACTTCTGAACTATTTCTGCTCACCACATTCATTTTCTTCTATCTTAAACCATAGTTCATTAAAATAAGGTTGGAGAAAGCATACCTAATTAAAAAAGAAAATACAGTGATATTATTTCTTCCCTTGTCTTTAGTTTCATTGTATTACCTTCAGTCTTTCAGTTCCAGCTTCTTCTCTGAGAAGCTTTAAGGCATTCAACCTACGTGAATACTGTATGTTTCCATTCAGATTTTTAATCAAAAAATAAAATAATCATATATTACCTGCTATTGTTTATGGATAATTATTTTCTGGTATAGAAAGAGGAAGTATACGAGGTGCTGACAATATGGATTCCAGAGTCCGACCGCCCCAGTTTGAATTATGCCTGCACCACTTTCTAGCTGTATATCTTGAGCAAGTTATTTATTCTTCCCTTGCCTCAGTTTTTCATCTGTGAGAAGAGGATAATGAGAATACCAGTCTCACAGGATTGCTGTGTGACATGAGTTGATATATATGAAGCTCTTGGAACAGTGCATGGCACTGTTAGTTATTACTGGTAGCAAGAGTGTTAAATAAAACCCTCATTCAAACTCTTAATATTATTTTTACCATTTATTTCAGCAGGAAAATATTGGGTATTTCCAAATGCATTTAGTTGATTTGACAAGCTTAGTTTCAGGCAAGGTAGCTACTGAGGCTTCTCCTGTTTTGTTTACATTAGGCAAGGAAAGCTTAGGGAAAATAGCTTTATAGCTAGAGGGAGAATTTTAGTATGCATTTCCAAAAGTTTCTTTACTTGCAGCCAGCAATGCCTTTAGATTGCTTTAATGAGTTAATTTGGGCAAAAGACCAAATTCCCCAGTTATCTACCGTAATTTGAGTGAACTTTATTAAACGAAATGCCAAAGTATCTATATTATCTTGACCAATATTAATTACCTAGTGTTTCCTTGTGGTCTGATTTTCTTAGTTGTGCTGAGTGCCCCATGTCATCAAACATGACCAGCACTGATTTAAGATTTATAAATGGTCTTCCTATGGTTTAATTTGTTGCTGTTTTCCTCTTCATGCTAATGCCAACTCAATATGACAGTAATAGAGGCAATGTATTTTGGTTTTCCTTTGTTTCAGAAACTGTGCTAGATATTTTTTATTTTTACCTCTTTTTTATTGTCAACTGTTTCAAACACAGAAAAGCATGGAGCATAATATGGCTGTATACTCACTGATTCAAGAAAGAAAAATGTTAATATTAATATCAATAAATAATATATAATTTTATGAAAATAATACATAATGGTAATAAATGTTAATACTATGCAACATTGGTTCATGTCTTTTTAAAGACATAATACAGTATTTGCTAGATATTTTACATATATTATGTCATAATTCTCACAAAAACCCTTCACGCTTAGAAATATTATTTTCATTTTGTAGATGAGGAATTGCAGCTAAATAACTTGTCCAAAGACACAGTGAAGTAATGCTGTATGTAACGGGGATTCACTCTTAGGCCTTTCTTACTTCAAAGCTTGTGTTCTTTGTACAATGATAAATACACTGTCATTATTGTGGATTAAGATTTAGGGAAAGCACAGATTACATTTCTTCTGTTTTCCTCCTCTTGATTTCTAAAAGTTTATTATTAAAAAGTTTCTTTTGGCTTAGGTGCCATGGTTCATGCCTGTAATTTGGGTGCTTTGGGAGGCCAAGGCAAGAGGATCATTTGAGGCCAGGAGTTCAAGAGCAGCCTGGGCAACATAGCAAGAGACTCCTATTGTTACAAAAATAAAATTAAATCAAAAAATTAGCCAGGTTTGGTGGTGCATGCCTGTAGTCCCAGCTGAAGGATCACTTGAGCCCAGGAATTCAAGGCTTAGTAAGCTATGATTGCACCACTGCACTCCAGCCTGGGTGACAGAGCAAGACCCTATCTCATGAAAAGAAAGCTTTTGTATAAATGTCATATTTGATATTTTGTTTGTTTCTTATTTTCATGTTTCTTTTTAATGTAACAATGTATGAAAGTAAATGTATTTGGTCTATACTTTCAAGAAGGTGATATATATTTTTTATATTGTTTTTGTTTTTTAGTTTGTCAAATTTGCAAATATTGAAGAAGACACACCATCCTATCACAGACGTTATGACTTTTTTGTGTCTCGATTCAGTGCCATGTGTCATTCTTGTCATAGTGATCCAGAAGTACGGACAGAGTATGTATTATTTTACTTTATAATCTGGATCTGTAGTAAGTAATTTAGAGATGAATACTCTGTTTTTTTGTTACATAATGATTACCAGAGGAAACCAGAATATGGCTGAAATGTGGCTTCCCATTGCTGTTAGAAGTTATAATTACTGACTGAAGTAGCAAAAGGAGAATGGTTTTCCAGTTCACTAAAATACAGTCTTTATTGTAGCCTAGAATGTCCATCTTTACTATAGCCTAGAATGTCCATTCGTGCTCCACTGATTGTGTCATATCCTGTACTTCTATCATTTCTTCATGCTTTCACTCTAATCCAGCCACGTGGATCTCCTTGCCATTCCTTGAACACTTCAGTCACACTTCTCTTCAGGCCCTTTGGACATATTGGTCTTTCTGCACAGAACAATTCCCTAGGTGCCCACATGGCTTGTTACCTCACTTTGTTCATATTTCCGCCCAGATGTCACCTTATCACAAAGCCCTCCCCAGCCAGCCTTTATTAAATGTCAGCCCTCCCATTCCACCTCCAGTTATCTTTATCTTCTTATCTTATATTTTTTTGTCTGTTTCTTGCTCCTCTATGGAATATAAGTTCCAGGAGAGTGAGGACTTGGTTTTGAGGACTACTTGCTGTATTGGTAATAATTTGAATAGTGCCTGGAACATAGTAGGCTGTCAGTTAGTTGAGTGAAAAATTAGATAATGTTTTTTGTGTGTGAAAAGTAGATAAATTGAATGAATATATACTACCGAATCATCGTTTATCTGAGGTTGTCATGACAACTGTATTGGACATTTTTAAACATTTCCTCTAGATGTATCCTACTAAAAATCTGGAATCAAATACTTCATAAACTCAGTCTATAGGTTGGTAGAATGAGAAATACAGAAATGAGAAACTTTAAAGTTAAGAAAGTCAAAATGACTTTGGTAAATATAGAAAGTAATTTGAGCATTATTATGTTACACCTAGAAAACGAGAAATCAATCAGAATTTAGAGTTACTATGGGCAGTTGATAATAAAGATATAGCATGCTTTATAATTTTTACTTTTCTTTTAAAATAAGGAATGTACAGTAATATAACTAGCTTTTAGTTGAAGTATGCAAGCTACAGTGCTGGTTTACATGAAATAAAAACGAGTATAAATGTCATTTGAACTTGGAGAAAGAAAGCTTAAAGGTGACTTAATAGTAAATTTCAGGTATAAGATTTGTTTTTGTTTGTGATGCTGTTAGTATAATTTTTGCTCAGCAGAGTATAGGCCATTTAAAGTCCTGCTATTATGCCTTTATTATGAAATATAAATCCTCTCAGAGGTAAAAAAGAAAAAAAATATACTGTAATTACTTTACAATGATTAATTTTCTGTTTGTCTCCATCACCAGGAAAATTCTCTTTTCTTTCTCTAAAGGACATTTAAAAAATTTTTATGCGGCTGTTCTCTCTCTTGAAAGGCTGATAATAAGTTTTTAATGGGGCAAAAAGATAAAAGATTAGCTAAAGAAAATGGCAATTTTTTCAAGATTTTAACATTTTTGCTTCCTTTCAAAATATAGAAAAATTTAGTGTGTTTTTCTAAGTATTTATCATCCCCTAGTGAAGTATCTTGTCTTTTGAATATATTTTTACTTGTTTTTTATTACTTCCTCCAAAAAGAAATGTTGAAATGTTCTATATACAAATGAAAGAACTTATAGTACATTTTGCTAATTCTAGGTCTTTCCAATGTTATATCATATTTGAAGATCCATAATGCCAACATTTCATTTGAATTCCTGTACAACAAACAAGTAAACTAAAATGCTATTTAATATAAAATACTCAGTTTATTTTTGCTTTACCTTAAATAAAAGCCCTTTTGATTTTCTTTGTGTGTTTATATTCTGTTTTAAGTTCTAACTTAGATACGTCATCAATCCCTTTCATTTTTACCAAACTCTTATCAAATAGAACTCCAGGGGACATGGACGGTAGGAGATGGGGCTGATAAATATTTGGATTTTCTTAAAATGAAAGAAGAACTTGTTCTCGCATGTAGAGTCATACATCACAGTTTTAATCTCTAACTCTAATTTTCTGAAGAAACTTCAGCCATGGTAGAAATTACCACCATCATCATCCTCCTCCTCCTCATCATCATCCTCATGATGGTTACCAACAAACAGGAACCGCTAACACTTACTGAGTGCTTACTGTGTGCCAGTTATTATTAACCACTTTACATGAGTTAACTCATTTAAACTGTTCAACATTTCTATGCTGTAGATGTGACAGTTGTTCTATTTCAGTGATAGGGAAAATGTAAAATTCCTTTTGAGGGAGTCATGGCTAGAATGTGCTGATTAGGCTAGATGTTAGATCTGGATTAGATGAAGCTGTGTAGCTATAGTAGCTATTGATAGTTACCACGAACACTTCCCTTTAACCTTAAACAAGGACACCACTGTCTGCTGCTGCTCCATTTAGGCTGCTGTCTCACAAGGCATGATACAGGTTTCATCTTGTTTGTTCATGTGCTTCATGCCACCTTGTGCCTGACCTTCTCATCACCAAGGTGTAGCAGCAGGTATGTAAAGCAGGAATCTTTTGTAAGAACGTTAGGCTTGCCCGCTGTGATAGCTGCACAAGAGTCTCTCAAGACTCATTTATGTTTTAAAGAGCAGCATGTATAGATACGGCTTTGAAATAGGCAAAGTTTACATTTATGTCTTCCAATTCATTTTTCTCACCTGTTCAGTATCATATTACTGCCACCTTCCATTCTCCATCTCCTACTCCTGGATGCCTGCATTATTTTGCCATGGGTATGTAAAGCAATGTCACCTCCCTCCCCATATCCTCTATTCTTTAAACCGATTTACAGTTTTTGGAAGACAGTGCTAGGTAAACTGAATAAACCTCTAATTGGTGAGTATTTCAGATAGTAGAAAGAAAGGAAGTAAATAACAATCATATTTGACTGTTTTGAGACTCACTGAGCCACCAAGTTAGCTCTGCTTGAGACTTTGTTCTTTTGCAGTGTTTAGAAACTGTTTTCTGGTCACTTTTCTTCTCATTCTTGAACCTATAGAATTTTATTTTCTTTTGCTTTTTTAAAGAAGAGTGAGGAAGAGCTTGAGGAAGTTGGTGCTGTGATCTGGGATGGGAGGATAAGGCAGCATTCTCTCACTACTGTATTGATACATTTTAAGTCACATTATCAGATTATTATATGATAATGTATATATGTATATATATATGGCTGAGATTATCGGTGCTCCATTTCAATAGTTCTTGTTTGTAATACCTTTTAAAAGAACCAGCTTAGTCTTCTATCTAGGTAGACTAAGGGAGTTGAAGGGCTGTTAGGGAAGAACAGTGAGAGAAGTCTGAAGAAGCATGAAGGGTGTTCAGAACAGTGAAATCCTGTTTTTACTCAGCTCTTAAGACTTCTAGGTAAGAAATGGAATATCGTTATCATTTTAAGAAAACCTATGCTGTTGATTATTTAAAATTGAAAAATAGGTATTTTTGTATTTTATAGTCCCTTTAACTTTTAAAATGCCGATTTTAAAAACACAATATTTAAAGTAAGCCTTTTTGGGGCATATCTCTGTGTCTCTTAAATTTTTGAGGTGTTACTTTCTTAGACTTGTGTATTAAGATTTTTATTGTTAATATAACAGCATTTATTTGATATTCATTTTGTTAGCTAGGCAAGCAGACTTGTTTAAATTACTTTTTTTATGGCTCATTTTCTTCCTCTTTTTTTTTTTTTTTTTTTTTTTTTTTTTTTTTTTAATAGGATACGAATTGCCGGAATTAGGGGCATTCAAGGTGTGGTTCGCAAAACAGTTAACGATGAACTTCGGGCCACCATTTGGGAACCTCAGCATATGGATAAGATTGTTCCCTCCCTCCTGTTTAACATGCAAAAGATAGAAGAAGCTGACAGGTATTTAAAAAGATGTCAGTGTTGAAACTGTTACTTTTATGTATATGTGTGTATGCTTGCCCAGGTTAAGAACAGAGTTTTGTCTTTACAGTTTTGTCTTTAATACTCTGTAAACAGTAGTCTCATAAAGTTAAGTGAGTTTAAAAATATTACCTTTCTGAAAAAATTTTAGTCTGTAGTGATCACATTAGGATTAGTAGACTATAGATTATTATTCATACAACTAAGCCTTCTTTTTCTTTTAGAATAAGTTTACAGTTTATTTGTCTCTTATTATTGAATATCCAAATTGCTGTTTTAATGAATACTACTTAAAGTTGCAAATGTAAGAAACAGAAATTACAGCTCTGCTTCTGTTAATATAAAAGATCTAGCATACTTTTGCACAGGGAGTTAGAACGAACCAAAATAATAATGATAATAATAATAGCTACCCACACTGTATTTTATTTTTTCAACAAAATGGTTAGACACTATTCATATTTGATTTGTCCTAAGATATTTTGGAATTGAATATTATTTTGGGATATATGCTCATTTTTTTCTTTTTCCTCTGCAACATTCACTTGCACTTGGAATTCTGTACTTTATTCCACTTTTTCAAATACTGGAAGCATGCTTATCCCCCACATTTCTGTTGCCATACACAGAGATAACAAGTTAATAATAATAAATTAATGAATAATAAAATATTCATTATATATAAATAATATTTAATATATTTAGTATAAATTAATGAAGATTTCAGAAGCAGTATTCTTCAATGGCTTATTACCGTTTCCTGATTCTTGCAGTTTGAAGAGGAAAATTTGAATCTAATTTAAAAGTGATTCAATTCTATAGTTCTAGATTTAAATTTTGTTTATAATTTTTGTGGTTATATGTGTAATGGCAACATAAAACTAGTCTAAAAATGTAATTGATAAGTCTATGGTAGCACTTGCACATTCGTGTTAATTTACACTAATCACAGAAAGGATTCATGCTTAATTCCTTGTATGTGACTGTCTCCATCTTTGGGAACCTTCCCTAAAGTGTGAAACTTGATATATTTTATCATTATCTGTATTTTTCCTATTCTTGGCACTGTAGATGAGATGAAAGTGTCCTTATCTAAAATATTTACTATTTCAAGGATCACTAGCTAGAGGGAACCCATTTCCCTAACTATGGCTCTTGTGGTCGAGGGTTAGCCTAAGTAAAATATAGGAAACAGAGCTCATTGGTTGTCATTTCTTAAGAAATTATATTTTTTCATGATATAATCCCAGTGCAACATATACATTTTTAAAATTATTATTCATAAATTCATTAGCCTAAAATAATGTTTCAAGATGTGAACAGAATATTATCTGCTGAAGACAGCTACATATACAGATATTCTAATTAGCTTTTAAATTTTATTTTTTATTTATAGGCTAGGTCATAGTTTTTCACTATATTCTGTTTTTGCCCATTTACAGTTAAATTAAGAATACCTAAAGATGGTATCTGGGCACTGCGTTCTCACTAAGATTTTGCTATAAATAGAGAAAAGTTAATGAAAATGAATAGCAAGCTGCTGAGTATTTTACTTATATAAAAGACATTCTGTTAGAAAGAAGTTGCACAGCCAAGTTTATTTCTTCTATTTGAAAGAGCGTATGATTCATTTTGGTGGTGTTAAATTCATGAGATTATAATTAAGCTTTATATTTACTGGATGATAAAAAGCAAATGCCGTTTTAACATTTCTAAAAAGTAAAGTATATTCTGTTTATTAGAACTAATATTAAAATTCTTATGTTCGTTTTTCTTTATTTCGCTTTCTTTTTTAGTCGCATAGGCCCTCCTTCTTCTCCTTCTGCAACTGACAAAGAAGAGAATCCTGCTGTGCTGGCTGAAAATTGTTTCAGAGAACTGCTGGGACGAGCAACTTTTGGAAATATGAATAATGCTGTTAGACCAGTTTTTGCGTAAGTAGTTGGTGTTTTCCTGGTTATTTGTGACTTTGCTGTATTAATTGATTTAATTCTGTGTTAACTTATTTATAGAGGACAACTACTTTTTTACTTGTATGAGGAAGTTATTAATGGAACCAGTGTAACATTGTGGAGGTAGTACAGGACTGAGTCACAAATGATATGTTTGAACAGTGGTCAATACTTAAGTAGCTTTTTCCCTTTAAGTATGAAGTGTAATAATCTGCTTAATATGATGTGCATTGTTTAATGTGAATATCTACTTACAGACCTTGAAATGTGTATGTGCAGTGAAATATTTAAACAGTGTCCAAGTATAATGTATCTTGTTTTACTAACTTTCATGGTCAGTTTTTCCTGTTCCCTGGTTTCTATTTCTTGGCTTTTTGCCATGGCTGGGCTGCCTTAGATCACATTCACATATCTGAGCAAATAATCTTTTACATGGTGATTAATCAGAGCAAGAATATTACATATCTCATTGGTACTTACATGCTCTCCTCCAGGCAAAATACATTAATGAGCTTTTGAGTTTCTCCACCCACACATTCTGTCTCAAGCCTTGTTAAGCCTTTGTGTTTCTAACTCAATCACTAGATGATATATCTACCATATAATATTCTGTGTAATTTCTAGACATTTTTGCTAGTCTTTCTTTTGTTAAAATTCACCTTGTCCTTTTCTCCTACTGACTGTAATAGTGACTTTATAGAATATGTACGATATTCTAAATGTAACATCCAGAATTCTTTTGTTTTTTGAAATGGAGTCTCGCTCTGCTGCCAGGTTGGAGTACAGTGGCATCTCAGTCACTGCAACCTTAGACTCCCTGGTTCAAGCTATTCTCCTGCCACAGCCTCCCAAGTTGCTGAGATCACAGGCATGCACCACCACACCCAGCTAATTTTTATATTTTCAGAAAATGGGGTTTCACCATGTTGGCCAGGATGGTCTTGATTTCCTGACCTTGTGATCCACCCGCCTTGGCCTCCCAAAGTGCTGGGATTACAGGCGTGAGCCACCGCGCCAGGCCCAGAATTCTTTATTTATTACAGATGGATGTTATTAGCCTAGGGTTCCAAGTTGAGCCTTAGTTGCAAGAATCTATAAATCACAAAATTATATTAAAAATTAAAGATTCATTGATTTTCAGTCTGTGTTTCTTCCCGCCTCCAAAATATTGAGATCTACTGTTTAAAGGCTTATGGAAATGCTACTAAAAATTAATCAGGATTACATTGAATATACTAAGGGCAGATTTATTTTTTTAATATCCTACACATCCTGACAACGTCAAATACCTTTTTTTATCTTAATACTCTTATTGAGAACTAATCTATAAGGCCTTAAAAATCTAGAGAGCTAGCTTGGAGAAAAAAATTACCAAATAAGCTATACTTGAATTGAATAACTTGAACTGAGTTATATTCTTTTCTATATAGAAATTAAAAATTCTGATCATGTATTAATTAATTAAATTAATCTTAAGTAAATATGTGATTACATACTAGCCATTTAGTTGATTCAATATTAAATGCCCCCAGTAAGCGAGGTACCATATATTTTGGGAATATATGCATTAATAACAAATGTGATGGGCGATTGACATGTACAATATTTATAAAACAATATATGGATTATGAGAAGAAGACAAAAAATGCTCTAGCAGTTGAAAACAAATAATTCATGTCTAAATTGAGAATTTAGGACCAACGTCTTTTTTTTTTTGAGATGGAATTTCGATCTTGTTGCCCAGGCTAGAGTGCAATAGCACGATCTCAGCTCACCGCAACCTCCACCTCCTAAGTTCAAGCAATTCTCCTACCTCAGCCTCCCAGGTAGCTGGAATTACAGGCATGCGCCACCATGCCTAGCTAATTTCGTAATTTTAGTAGAGACAGGGTTTCAAGGTGATCTGTCCACGTGGGCCTCCCTCCCACCGGCCCCAGCCAGGGCCAGTATCTTTTAAGGTAGATGAAGGTAGCTGTCAAAAACTGCTCTGGAAATTGTATTTTATTTGTAAATAATGCTTTAGTTTGACATTAAAGTCAGTTTTTAATTTCAGTTATTATTTGCGTAAAGAAAATAAATGATTTAAAAATTTTTGAATATTATATTTTTAATCAACAGTGAGCACAAGACACTGATAATGTTGGCTGAAGTGGTGGATAGGGTTTAGGGCTTAGTGTGAGATAAGAGGGAAAAAGTTTAGCTTATACTGTAGAGATTTTAAAATTTTTTATTTAAGTTTATAGATAATTAGTGGAGATCATAGCTTAAAAGTATAAAGTGGCTAGAACTTCCCTTTGAGAAAGTTAATCTATGATAGGGCTATATAGGACAAATTTGAGCCAGGGCCAATGTGTCAGCAGGTTACTGTAATAAAATTCTTGACAAGTACGTATGCGAACTATAAGTAATTGGTAGCATGCTTGAGATAACAAAAGTTTATTTTTCTGCCTCTTAGCAGATGAATATTATAATGGACAATATTTAACTTGACAATTGGTTAAGAATCCATAAAATCATGATAATACAGCTTATAGTAGCATTAAAGATTTATATCTTCTGAGAGTGAAGATGGAAGAATTTGCCTCAATTATGAAACTACCCAGTTTATCAGATTCAGGTTAACTGTACATTTGTTTTCTGTAAATGTATAAATTTTGTTCTATAAATTATCTGTATTTTTTTTTATCACTACTTCTGTCCACTTAATTTTAATTAGTGGATTTCATTTATGCCTTCTACTCTTCAGACTTCTTCCAAACAAGTAGCTATGTTCAAATGCTTCTTCGAATCTACAGAGGCTAGCTCATAGTACGTAACACATAGTAGACCTTAAAAACGGTGATGATTCAAGATGGATTTCAGGTCTTTTTTTTGGTACCATTTCCATTTTTAATGCCCCAAAAAGTAATTATTACTTTCCAGGAGATGAAAGTTATAAGAAGCAGCAAGCACAGATGTTAATATAGGTCATATCAGGATGTACTGTTTATTAGTTGTATGAACTTGAAAAACCCAACCTCTCTGAGCTCCAATTTTTTCACCTTCGAAAAGATTTTAATGCACGCATTAAATGATTTATTTGTATCTTAAAATAGAAGCTATTACTTGTCAAGTGCTGGCTGTACCCTGTGACTATGCTAATAACCTTATATGCTTTATCTTACTTAATCCTTTTACCATATGAAGTGGATGTCATTACTGTCCCCATTTTCCAGGTCAGATTTCTGACCTTTAGAGAAGTCAAGTAACTCACTCATGGACAAGGACATATAGGTAGAAAGTGAAGTCAGAATTCAAATTCTGATCATTTTTTTACTGAAAATCATGGTCTAAATTAACCGTTAAGGTTGATAATATATGCCTAGCATAAAATATATTTTCAACAAATAATAGTTATAATAAAGTTGGTTTTGATATGGAAGGACAATTTTTATACTTTAATTTTGATACAGTAAGTGATAAGTAATCTGGCAGTCTGTGGATATAATCTAAGGTTGTTTTCCTGGTGTTTTACAGCCTTGTATTTGTCCATCATTTACCCTCTTTCATTCATATTTACTTGTTAGATAAAATTATTCATTGTATGAAGTAAATTAATAGATTGCAACATTGAAAAAACCTGGGAATCAGTAAATATTTATTGATTAAATGTTCACGAAAGTACTACTGGTCCACAGCATTGCCTTAGAAATAGCTTTAATTGTGCTAGGCGCGGTGGCTAACACCTGTAATCCCAGCACTTTGGGAGGCCGAGGCGGGTGGATCACGAGGTCAAGAGATCGAGCCCATCCTTGTCAACATGGTGAAACCCCGTCTCTACTAAAAATACAAAAAATTAGCTGGGCATGGTGGTGTGT